AAAAAAAAAAAAAGTACAAAAGCCGCATGGCAACTGATTATTTCGTGGGAGGAAATTTTATCTTCTGTCCTCTCAACCCCACTCCTAGCCTGATGATTTCATTCATCAAACATCCTTTAACGAAGAAATAAATGAGTTTAGCTCACATGAGCGAATATGGGCTTTCTATTTGCGTTCTGGTAGACAATTATTGTTTACCACATTATCGCGCTTACCGAAGGATTCACAAAATCCATTAAATGTTCAGATGATTTCTTCGAATATTCCGAAGTTGAAAAACCATCTAGACGTTTATTTTAACAGCAGCCACGACTACGACTCAAATTTGTGGCCCATTTATCGGTGAACGCTTAAGTTTTCATTCATCCAAGTGTGCTAGAAACCATTATGATAATTTCATAGGAAGCTAACGTGATATGAACGGAAGTAATAGGGGCGAGATATGGCTGTTCTGAGTAAATAAGTTTAACACAGCGCTTACCTTCTCCTTGGACGAAAACCACGAGTTGGATGGTCCAAATCGCGAGAACAAACCAAGTGTATCTGTGACAAAATAATACCATGTCGGTTGCAAAGCTGATCTCCACGGTGGGTAGATTTCACCGTAATCGCTTGTAAATTTCAGGCGTAGTTCGCTTGATCGCCGTCGCAGTTAGCAAATTCTTTGGACTAAAATGAAGAAAAACTACAGTTGGTTTTTAAAATTCATGTTTATAGAGAGGTTTCATTAAAATTATAGGCGAGATTTAGCGCTAACAGACGGTTTTTCAGTGAGACTATTGTTCGCTTTCCTTCGAACGGCGTTTGAAAATTTTTGTGATAGGACAGCTTCGCGGTTCATTGACTCAGAGATCACGTGACTGATGCCAGTGACCTGTGGATGACGCCTCCCGAAAGCAATTACAAAGTGACACAATTCAGGACAATAGCATACCAAAAATTCCCCGGGATTAGCTCTAGTATTGTGTTTGGTTTTTTGAAATAAACAATTATCGATTCCAAATGACTTTCTGGCGTAAATTAATAAAAATATTGTTTGTCGACTTAGTTATATTTAGTCTGTGGTAATCTTGGAGGGGGTCATCCCTTGTGAGTTTGAGAGAATTGTGTACAGTAACTTAAAAGTTTTCGCATGTCAAACGTTCCTAAACCCTTGCAAGGTATGACTTAACGGCAGAGTGTGAGAACAGACCAATTACGACGCACGCACGAAATACAATCATCTCTTCTCTCACTCGCGCGAAATTTGCCCTTTCTCGGCCCAGTCTTCCTGTTCGCTTTGCCGAGTGGGTCACTTTATGGTCATGTGGCAATGTTTTAAATCCAAAACATATTCGAAAACACCGCGTCACATTTTTTTTTTCGGTTTTGTTTTCTTGCTGATCACTTTCAACAACGGGCAAAGTTTTCCTTAACACGAGGAAGAATGGATGAAAGTAGGAATTTGAAAGGATAGCGCAACACTCAAATGCAGAAAACAAAATGAAAAAATTGAAATGAAAAAAGAAAACAAAACGTATCACAGCCAATGATGCAGACAACTGACACAGAATGCATGCTTCCAACCCAAGAAAATTAAGTTGAATTGGTCAGGTTAGGCAAATCCAGGCTAGATTCCTTTAGTTCGTCAAAGAAAGAAAAGGAAATAAATGTGAGGAGGCCCTGGAAAAAGCATTTCACAGAAATGTGTTAATGATTAACCTGAAATAAACGTGATCTAAACAATATACATGCACTTGGTGTACTTCCTACCGAATTTAATTAATCTGATTGAACAGGTGATTAGCTGATTTTTTTAAGTAAGCTACCAAAATCTTGCCATGAACCAACCGTAACGCCCTCTTAAAAAACACTCCGATAAAAGAATTTAATAGTTTGACGCCGTTTTTTCTTCATTTTCTTTTATCTCAAGCCGGAATAATGGACCTAAGATCATCATTCTAATGGGTTTTTTTTTTTCGCAGTAAAAATCCATTAGTTGTGGTTAGAAGCGGCCTTACTAGGTCCTAAACACTAACGAGAATTGGAAAAATAACCCTAACTTCGTTGCGCATTACAAGTAACTCTGGACCGCGATGTCAATTTAGGAAAATATTAGCCACAGATCTTAACTGCTTAGTTTCTTCTGGCGACGAAAAATCATCTTATTTGAAGATACCTTTGATTACGCAAGAGACAAACTATGGGCTCAACGTGTAGTAGAGAGTTAAAATCATTTGAAAACTACAATGAGTTGAAGTTCGCATTGAAAACTCATCAAACGGCGAATTGCACGGTCATCAGCCAGAATCGACCATGAATTCTCAAACGCTCGG